TGTCCTGTCTTGTGACAGTAATTGCACTTCTTACCCGAAGCTGCGCACTGAGATTTGTCGGGCTTATGGTTCCTACCACAGTCCGTACAGGAAGCATGGGACGTGACAGGGCGAGAATGATCTTGGCGAGATTTAGGTTTGAAGCTCTTCTTATGGGGCTTGTTTTTAATAGAATCTACGGCCGCTGCTGCTGGAGTTTGAATGTCCTTACGATTTCTCTCTGAGAACTCATGAGCCTGACAGACTTCTATGCATTTATCCAACGTAAACACATCTACCTGTTGTGATTTTTCCAGTAAACGCAATTGCAGCTTATCATTGTTTATACCACAGATTATCATGTCCTTGACGAGTGAGTTTTGTAACTGACCAAATTCACAGTCTTTGGCTTTTACCTTTAAGTCTGTGACGAAACTGTCAAATGTTTCACCTTCCTGTTGAGTTCTTGTAAGAAACTTGTGACGAACCATTGTGATATTTTTCCTGGGCTCAAAATAATCATCGAACTTTTGCAAAACTTTGGTATAATCCGTTTTATCAGTGTCCTCATTGAACACAAAACTGTTATAAATCTGTACACAAGGTTCTCCTATACATGCCATAAGAATGTTGAACTGGATTTGTGCCGACTTTTCAGATTTTTCTGTAGCCACCAGAAAAAAATCGAACATCTGCTTGAAATGTCTCCAATTTTCAGCCAGATTACCAGTCAAAACCATTTGTTTTGGTTTATCCAAGAAGACTGCCATTCTGATTGTACGATTTATTGTCCAATATATATCAGATGGTTGAGTATTAAGTCCGATTTTCCCGATTTATGACACCATATAAAAGTATAACAGAATTCGAGAATTGGGTGAATATGAAGTGCCATCTATATTCTTTCTAATACAGAATTACAATTGGTATGAATGAAACGAAATCACTCTAAGTAATTAATACCATTACAATTCCTATATAATATGAAAAAGTTACAAATGGAATAGATTTTGTGTCTATGAATAGATGGCATCATTAGAATAGCTTAAAGGTTGTGTTTCAACAAGGAGGATTGGCTCCCAGAGTTCCATCTCGATATTCTTCCATATATGGACTGAAGTCATGTCTTGACTACAATGTTAAAATCTTTGGATTTGGAGTCAGTTATAATGTCAGAAAAGGACCTTTTCAATGTCGTCGTTGATTATTTAGGTTGAGGTTGAATATCATGTTGGAGGTCTAAAGGAGGCGAACCTCTTAATGTTAACAATATTTTAGGAGCATCCAATTTTGGTATTGCATAGAAAGGAGCAAAAAAATGTGACAAGTTGGACCATTGTGATAATATTATGTTAACTTAACCCCCCCCCCCTCCATCCCTTCACCCCCTACATGTATATAACAAAATTAGAAAATGTTTATTTGCATAAAATCATAATTTCGATAGTGAAAATGGTGATTTCAATTGAATACCATGTGAGAGCCAATTGATATTTTAATGACCCCCTCATCCCCTCCATCCCAATCCCATTGGATTGGCAGATGTTCACTTATCAAGGTTTTTTAACATGGAAGTCTATGGTAGCTCAAAATGGGACTGAAAAATACATTCACATTGGGAGGTGTTAGATTAGAGAGGTGGTCATATATACAGGTTTAACTACACATGTACATTCAAATAATGACATTATCTTAGTAAGACGAACCTAATTTATTTGAGATGTAGTCTGTCTCAAATAGATTGATGTTTTTCACACTTGAGCAATGCTTTTCAGCTGCTGCTCTGACTTAGGCATATACACATTACAAATATTAATATTTTAATTTATATTATTCAGGTGGATTTCCAATCTACTATGGAAATGCAACAATGACACATACGACAGTTGAAGATGAACCAACACAGAATCAACCACCGAATCAGTTCTATGACAACCCAGCCTTTCAGTAGGTTCGCTTTAGGTGATATATTTAACTAGGATTTCTAGGTTCGCTTTAGGTAGTTCCCCATATAAAAACTCCATTGGTAGGTTCGCTTTAGGCGATGTTCAAATATGCTAATTAGGTCTAGGTTTACTTTAGGTGATCACCTAAAGCGAACCTATAACTACCTATAACTACCTAAACTACCTAAAGCGAACCTAGGTAGGTTCGCTTTAGGTAATTATAGGTTCGCTCTAGGTAATTATAGGTTCACTTTAGGTGGTCACCTAAAGCGAACCTGAATCTAATTAGCATATTTGAACATCGCCTAAAGTGAACCTAAAACTACCTAAAGCGAACCTACGTAGGTTCGCATTAGGTAAATACTTCCAAGGGCTGGGTTGGCTTTAGACCACCCAGCAGCTGGATGACTTGATTTGTTGATTTGAACTGTTTATATATTTCTCACACATTTTGATGCATATATTCTCACGCAAGTACATTTATTTACGATGATGGTCCTAAGCTGGCCTATGGAGGTAGCCGGGTGTCTGGACCCTACAAACTTGTGAACTGTATAGGCTATATGTCAACTGTTTATTTATTTCTCACACATTTTGATGCTTAGTTTCTCACTCAGGTACATTTATTTAAAATTCCTCCTATTTTATAATTGCATGCTTTTATAACACTTAACCTCTTGAATACCAGCCTCTAAAAAGGGTTTGAAACCAGAGTATTGTTTATTTTTTGCCAGTTTTTTTGATATTTACATCTAAAAACACAACAGTTGATGTTTGATTTCATAAGAATAGTAAACATAGACCCATTTTAAAACATCATTTGTGAAGATTGGATAAAAATTGCCAAAGTTAGAGCAGTTTTAGTGAAAAATTCTGTGACAGATATATCCGTCATTCTGGGTATTCAAGAGGTTAAAATAATATATTGATTGATCATTTGTACACTTACTTACATGTACTTTGTAAATGAGCACTGATGTGATGGTCATTTCAGCATATTTCCCCATTTTCCTGGCTATTTCCAAATTTCCTAACTGATTTTAGTTTGAATATTATACCCACAATGCATTGATACTTCCTGCTATCAGCGCCCCTAGTGGCTGTGACAGAACTTCTGTTTTGTAGGTTTGCTTTAGGTAGCTTTGGGTTCGAACCTAAAACTACCTACAAGTTTGAAGTGTTTTAGGTAGAATTAAGATTTTTAGGTTCGCTTTAGGTAACTCTTGAAGAATGACTATGTTTTTTAGGTTCGCTTTGGGTTCGAACCTAAAACTACCTACAACTTTTCGATTTTTTTAAGTGTTTTAGGTAGTTTTAGGTAACTCTAGATAATTTCTAAGATTTTTTGGTTCGGTTTAGGTAAATCCTGAAAAAGTATAACATTTTTAGGTTCGCCTTAGGTTCGAACCCAAAACTACCTACAAGTTTCTGATTTTTTTAAAGTGCTTTAGGTAGTTTTAGGTTCGAACCTAAAGCGAACCTACATGAAGTAGGTTCGTTTAGGTAGCCATCAAATTGTGGGATTCACTTTTAGGTTCGCTTTAGGTTCGAACCTACATCACCTACTGAAAGGCTGGGAACAACCAATCACAAAAAGATCAATACCATGGCAACAGCCAATCACAAGATCGCCGCAATAGCCTATTACATAGTGACTCATATAGTATAATGTTTGAGGAGGAATCCATCCAACACATATGCAACAAGTGTCTAAAAGTGTTCCCCACAAAACCTTGCTTAGATGTGCACACCATGGTCGTGCACAACAAATACTGCGAAGTATGTAACACGAGGCTTGACGGAGAAGAAAATTTGGAACAACATGGCTTGACTCACGCTGGTTTAAAACCTTACCAGTGTGAATACTGTTACAAACTTTTTGGTTCAAACTGGGGACTCGACTCCCATCAACAAAAGCCTGTTATATGCAGGTTATGTGGAAAGGGTATCCGTGTTCAGAATAGGGCATCCCATTACAAGCAACATCAGCAAAAGTCCTAGATGATAATATTGGACACCGAAAAAAAAGTATATATTTTTTTAATTACTTCACTTATTTAGCTTGAATAAAGTTTTGCAACACAATTTTTATTTTCTTGTTAGAAGGTTTAATTAAAAAATCTACAAAGTTAGTAATGTTCAATATTTACATATTTATTTTGACATTCATAAATCAAAGATGATGAAACTGTACAAAATTGAATTGATAAAAAGTGTTCACATTAGTGTTTAAAAATTTCCTCATGAGGGGTGTTCGGATAAGAGGGCTGATCTGATTTACAGATTTTACTATTCTTGCAATGCAATTGACATTAACATGCACACCATTAATGGGTAAAGGCTAACTAGAAAAGGGGGACTGATTAGGAAGTAACAAAAACAAATTAGGTATAGGCTGAAATTAATAAGAAATCGGTAGAATTAGCTTATGAGAAATAGCTAGACTAATAAGGACTGTGTCTTATACAAATAGAAATTGATGAGAACTTGGGGTTAATTAGGATGGTGATTAGAGGTAATAGATGAATAAAAACTGTAAAGATACACAGTTGTAAGACTTATTAATAATATATATACAGTGAAACCTGTTAAGTGGGAACATCTCTAGAAGTGGAACAACTCTGTTTGTGGAACACTTCAGAATACTAAGACCAACTGGCTTAATGTTAAATGTGCCTCTACATAAGTGGAACAATTCTAGAAGTTGAACACCTCTGTTAGTGAAACACTTCATAGTCCTAAGACCAACTGGCTTAAGGTTAACTTAACGTTTATAAGTGGAACGTGGAACACCTCCCAACTGGAACACTTTTTAGAGGATACAAAGGTGTTCTACTTGGAGCTTTACTGTACATGTATTGTATATACAGTATGTGTCTGAGGTTTTCATTAGCTGGAGGCAATTGTTTTTTTGTCAATGCTTATATCAAATATTTGTCTATTGTTTTCACTCGTTTTACTTATTTCTTTTGAATCACATGCGAGGCTGATCAAATCATGTCATTGTACATAACAATTTATCTCGCAGTCATTGCAAAAATAATTTATAATTCTCAGCATTTTCTTTTTATATTCAGGAACTGGAACTTTCGACCAATCCTCACAGTTCACTACACAACTATCCAAATATGGAGACCAACAAGGCTCTCGTTCGAGACACGACGACCTCTTCTTTGAAGATCAAACAAGGTTCATATGCCAGGAATGCAATGTAGAATACCCATCAAAAGCATGTCTGGAGTCGCACAGTATGGTAGTACATAATAAATACTGCGATGTGTGCCAAAAGCGGTTGGATAATGAACCGCACGAGGAGTTGCTACAACATGGATTGAAACATAGTGGTTTGAAACAGTATCAATGTGAATTTTGTTACAAGGGATTCGGGACCAACATTGGTGTTGTCTATCACAAGGCAAAGTCTTTGATATGTTCGCTTTGTGGAAAGCAGGTACATATCAAAGAGAAGGCAAAGCATAAAAGATTACATCAAATGTGAATGTGGAAATATCATTGAACCTCCATGTGCATCATTCTTGGTGTCATCTCAGACTTTATGATGTCATAAAAGTGACATACTGTATTATTGCCATGATGCCATAAAAGTGACATATTATTGACACAATGTCATAACAGTGACATATTATTGACACAATGTCATAAAAGTGACATATTATTGGCATGATGTCATAAAAGTGACATATTATGTGCATGATGTCACAAAAGTGAAATATTATTGGCATGATGTCACAAAAGTGACATATTATTGACATGATGTCACAAAAGTGAAATATTATTGGCATGATGTCACAAAAGTGAAATATTATTGGCATGATGTCACAAAAGTGACATATTATTGACATGACATGACATGGCTCCATTTAAAAGTTTTAACATTGTAGATTATTGAGTTGGTTCTCTAAAAATTATAATTATTAATCATCAATATTTATGTTTGTTCAGTTAGATGGTTTATATCTAAGACATTTAATAAATGCTTTTGTAATGTGAATGTTCAAAACGTGTTCAAAATTGATCAAAACTAAATTACCAGTAATAAAATTCAGTAAATAAAAATTTTGAATTTTTAGTAGCTGGATCAATTATATATTATGACAATTTTCACATTGATTTTCACATTTTAGTGTCTTCCCTCAAATGGGATATTGTAAACCCATTGAGACTTAAAATGAAAAAGTGACTAAAGAAGACCTCAGAATTAAAGAGGAATGTCAAATTGTCTCTGTTTTTCATACATTTCATTTAAAAATCAAAATCATCGAAATTTTAAACAGTGTTAGGCATTGTTATTGTGTGTGTTAAGGATATTGGGGCTTGTTTTTCTAAGAACTTATGTTTGAAGATGTTTCTCAAGTGGTGACATATTGTTATAGTCTCCAACATTTTGTGACAGCAGTTGGTGTTCAGAAGTTGGTGTTAGGTATCTGTAACAAATGGCAGGTTGTGATGTTTTCCATGTTTTTTAATGCCTTGTATCTTGTCTTGTCTTACTGTGTTTTGCATCACTCTAGTCTTTCTCTACTTGGCACCTGCAGAGGCATCCCCAGAATCTTCCCATGGGGCGTGTGTCTACATCTGAAGTGGAAAATAACAGTCTCCATCATTGTAGCTTATAGTAGCCTAGCTTCTTCACCTCTTTCAACAGAGCACATAGTTCTCCTTTCCTTTGAGTCTTTTTTCCTCAGCACCATGAACAAAAATCGCTGGGTAAAAGTAAAGTTTGCTTAAAAGGTGAGTGCGGGCAGTGCATCCCTGGGGATGCCCATGCACTTGTGATTACATATTTAATACATGCATGCATTTTTGGTGTCGTTATTCAGGTCCATATATAATAAATGTGTATGTACATCTTCTATGTCTTTATCCAGGTCAGTTTGGCAGCTACCAGATGCAAGAAGGGCTGGATGACTCATACTCCATGCTAACTGGGGGCTCGAAGGGGACTCTCAGCAGTGGAATATTCATAGATGACCCAACGGAATTCAAATGCCAGCCATGCCATCAAGGGTTCCCCTCAAAGGCATGCAATGAGGCACACAATATGGTCGTACATAACAAATATTGTGATGTTTGTCAAGGTCGACTGGATGACGTGCCACACTATAAGTTGCTGCGACATGGATTAAAACACACCGGCCAGAAGCCACATCAGTGTGAATTTTGCTATAAGTTATTTGCTAATACGTATTCTCTAAAATCTCATCAGAAAAAGGACTTGAAATGTGTGATTTGTGACAGGATCGTGTCATACTCAAACAAAAGCAAGCATGTTAAGCTACATCGATAGCCAATCAGAATAGACCATATTTTCTTGATATGCGTAAACAAAGACTTTTTGATTAATTCAATGTCAAGTTTGCAAGACTTGACCTATTAATTATATATTTTTGTAATGGTTTCACGTTGTTGATAATTTTGATATAATTGTTTTTTATTGTCAGCATGTAGATTTACAATTGCACATGCATAATACAGATTATTTATGTTTTGCAATTTCTTAAACATGTCATGTATTTTAAAAACATGAAGAATGTGAAGTGTATGTATTTAAAATATATTCCTGGAAACAGCTCATTCAAGGTTCCATTCTCATAAAGATCAAGGTCAATATGTTTGTACGAGGAGTGATCAATAAGTAATGGATGTTTTTTCACACAGATGCTTTTTATACAAAATAATCAAAGAGATTGGTCTATAAAAAGCATCCATGTAAAAAAGTGGTCATTGCTTATTGATCACCCCTCGTACATAATCAACTTACATTTAATTCATTTTACCTTTAAAAATAGCTGTACCAATTAAAACCATTCACTGATAGTATTTAAAAGTTGAACCTTTAATTCATCTTGATTCACAAGAACACCTTGAAAATTGAAGATGCCTCTTATTTGAAAATCATTAAACATTTTTTTTCAAAGTTGTAATTATAAACAAAAGTAAAGTAATGTAAACTTTTGATGATATTTGATTTATTACTACTACTTGGTGTTATTACAATAATTCTCTAAAGGGATTAATAACTGCCTTGACCATATACTAATATACAATATATTAATACTGATATACATACAATGTATGTAATTGTAGTGTCATTTGAATTTTTTGTGAATAAATTGTTTTGTGAACATAAAGTGTATTTGATGTAATTTTACATGAGGCCTGTGACCACCCAATCCCCACTCAAAGAGTTACCTTAGAAACAGACGGGTCCAGATGCTTCTGGCCCTTGAATTTGTGGGACCTGTACATTATATAGTCCAAGAATATGGTCCAATGGTCAAGTAAAACTAAGGCAGTCTGCAGTCAGGACATTAATATGTACATGAAACATGTGTACATTAAACTTCTCATATGCATACTGAAAACCCTTTAAGATGAACACCTCTACAAACATGAACTCTATTTAATGGCCCCCATTCTTGAGGTGAAACAAGAAATTTAATTTGGATGCATGCACATGCAAAATATGTTCAGTAAACCTCTCACATGGAACACCCCTCTAAGATAAAAACCTCTATAACATGAACACTATATGCAAATGCAAATGTGTACAGAAAACCTCACACCTTGGACAAACCCTAAGATGAACAAACAGTTTATATAGGTAGTCTCCCTTTTTATTCCTCCCATAGGCCCCTGGGATTCTTGTTAATCTCACCTTGCTTAGGGGAACCTATATAAAATGAACACTGTTGGGTTCAAAAGATATTCACCTTATAGGTTTAATAAAACTACTCTCCAAAAGTTTGGCAACTGGATCCCCTTTTGGACCATATGGTAAACCTATATACAGTGTGTTTCACAATTGATATCCAATTTGTTGAAATGTGAAAATAAAATATTTAAGCTTAAGTTCAATAGGCTGAAAGGATAGGAATGGTTTAAGAAATTGAATTTCTATTAAATGTAAACATGAGGTTCCTGGGGTCTTATCTGTCCTTAACTTGCATAGATTATCTCATGGTGTCCAACGTTTATCGTGATTTGAATTGAAGATATGTCTGCATGTTACAATACACACAGTTATACAATATATTGCATTAGGAAATGATCATTGTACAGATAAATGCGAGCTGAAATTTAACAACATGTTTATGTTTTTAAATTTTCTGTTTCAGCATACCTATCAACCTTACAAAATGTCACTGATCCAACTACATGGAGGGATAGCACAACTTCTAGAAACGAACCCCAAGGGGCAACCATCATGAGCCACGCAACCGCACAAAACCCTGTTGACCCGAAAGATATTCTGATCGAGGATCCATCTGAAACTGACTGTAACGTATGTGGTAAACAGTGTCCATCTAAGCAGTGTCTTGAGAGACACATGTGTCTCGTCCACAATGGTTACTGTGATGTCTGCAATCAACGTATTGACAATGAGGACGCTGAGGCGCATGGTTTGAAACATAATGGGCTTAAACCAGTACAGTGTGACACTTGTTTCAAACTTTTCAGCTCAAGAAGTGGATTTGTGAATCATGTTACTAAAGATTTGATGTGTTTGTTGTGCAATAAGACGTTTACAGTCACCAGTCGCGCCAAACACTTGAGATTGCATAATATGAGATTGCATTACATATGAGATTGCATATGTGAGATTGCATACAATGTGAAATTGCATAACATGTGAGATTGCATATGTGACATCCCTTATAAAAAATCCGACCTTGAAATTCCGAAAACAAACCATCGCAAGCAATCATCGATTAATGATTGCTTCAACCATTTAGATCAAAGGAAAAACCATTGCAAAATGACATGCAATCATTGTGCAACCATCGGCTGTAACCATTAGAATTTCACTCTGCAATGGTTAAGCAACCATTAACATGTGATCATTGCATTTTTAAATGCAACCATCTACAACCATTACTCATTGAAATCTGCAATGGTTGCAATGGTCGCATTCAATCATTGAACATTTTTACAATTGCAACCATCATGAGTTTTAATTCAGTGAAATGACCGTAGAACATGTAGAAGTATGTCTGAAGAAATGTTGATGTTAATGCATGTCCACAATGTAATTACTGTACATCTATATTGGAGAGGGGTAAAAGTTAACCTTTCGGAGATCAATCAATTCTAACAGGGGCTTTTGCCTCTAAAATGGGGTCACACAAGGTACGGAATGCGTGACATATTTGCAATTCGCGTGAAAAGTCCGAACGAAATGCGTACATTTTTTTTCCGGCGTTCGTATTTTTGCTGTGAAGACGATCTTTTTTAGAAATTTTTCTACAGAAATATTTTTGCTTGACAATTACCAGGTAAAATGCGTATTTGCGTGACATTTTCTGTCACGCAAAAATAACTGGCGTGACTTCAAATTCTTCAGCAAATGCGTGACAAATACGCAAATTGCGGGACAGTTGACAGGCCTGAATCCTGTCTGAGTCCTTGATGACAGTGACCAGGTAGACATTGCAATTACTACCACTGAATTAAGAGTAACAGAAGACTTATTATAATCAGGGCCACGAATTAATAATCCTATAATCCTTTAGGTTTTTACCCAGGGCTTTTTATCATTCTTTAGTGAAAACAATTACTTGTATATTTGTTTTTTCTAACTTAAAAGACAGGAGACATATGATTAACAGAATCTTAAGAGAATAGAATCATAACTTAACTAAAAATACTTATTGTGGGATCTATATGCAACAATTTATAATTGAAACTGACTCAGCTTAAGATTCAGCTGATATATAAGAGGAGACTCTGATAGATCACAATATATACTTTCTATTCCATGGATACATTTTTTACCTCATTGAAATTTCATGTTTCACTGTTGTAAAAAGGGAACATTCACATCTTTTTTTCAGACAATTAATACAATTTGAGTAATTCTTAAATAATATGAATTCATAAAATAGAAGTGATGTTTTGGTTCACTCCAGGTTTTTCAAATTATCCAGCAGTTTTTAAAAATTTTCAAGCAGAAACTCCATCCCAATGATCGGTTATAGCCAGCTTTTCTTTTGCCAAGGGATTTTAGATTTCTTAAATTCCTGGGTTTTCACATTATATTTTTTGCCCCCCCCCCCCCACCTCCATCCCAATTATAGGGTATGGCACAGCCAGCTTTTTGTTTGCCAAGGGACTTCAGATTTCTATAATTCCAGGGAGTTTACATTAGATTTTTTGCCTGAAATCACTTGAAAACTGGGTCATCAGTGCATTTTCTTGAAAAATCTTGGACAAGTTTATCATCACCTTTGATTCTGTGGAGAGGGGAGGGGGGTTACCCAAATATAAGTCTGGAGAAAAGGACTGAATGCTTAGGTATGATTTAAACAAGAATGAAAGTAAAGTACAGACTACTGAATACATTTACTGAAATGGAAACAAGTCTGATTTTAGTTTCTGTTGATATCTAGATTGATGTACTGGTAAGGGGGGGGGGGTAATAACTGTAGTTTTATAAAATGAAAAAACGATTTAATTTCTAAATGTACAAGAGACTTCTTGGTCTTCAATAATGCACATTGCTCGAATATAAAATAAAGTTGTGGGCAAAAATAGTCAGATAAAACATGCATCAAACCTTTTATTATGTTTTACTTAGAAGCACAGACAAGAATTGAATTTGATTGGGATGTCTGATTTCTCTGATTAAACTGTCTTAAAATAACAATGAGCCTGATGGCCTTTTAAGTTTTGTTACTTTACTTTTTAGAGAACATAGATCAAGCTTATTTTATACATCTGATTCAGTGGAAATATTTATGATTCTTAGTTCTTGTTTGGTTGGGAAAACCACTTATCTTGGTTATTTTGATTTTCACACTATGAATATCAAACTACATGTATCTCTAAAGATTAGTAAATCACTTATTTGTATACTGTTTTAAAGAACATAGTCTACAATCAAGCTTTTTTCATACATCTGATTCATTGGAAAGATTTGTGATTCCAAGTTTACAGTGAACCCCCTGGGTTTTTGTTGGGTTTGGAAAACCACTTATCTTGCTAATTTTGATTTTCACACCAGAACATCAAACTATCTCTAAAGATTTGTAAATCTTATTAGTCAAATATCATCTTTTCAGTAGTTATCAAGATATTTCACTATTCAGGATTTTATAACATGATCTCTATGAGGAATTAGAACCAAGATTAAGAAATCAATGCCACATGTAAATTCTCATTTTTTAAAAAGCCAAAACTTTTTATCATATAAAGCAAAAATCGCAAAAAATGTTATTATCTGGAAACAGTACCTGTATTTGTAAAATTATTTTCAAATTATCATTTACCAGTTGGCATGACAACTGTCAATGCAAATAATAACAATAACAAAGTAATTAGCCATCCAACCAAAATGGCCGACTTAATTAGCTATCCGACCAAAATGGCCGACTTTAATTAGCCATCCGACCAAAATGGCTGACAATGCAACACATTTAATTGAAGCAATGTAAACTATTAGATATTACCAAAAGAAAAGTCATGGAACTTTAAACTTTTGAAAATCAGCTTATTGAGATTGATTAGAAATTTTTTATATTACTTGTCTATAATGATGTATATATAACTAGTAGCTGTTTTAAAGCATATAAGACATTTTCACGTTTCTACCATGTATTAACTGTGTCTTGTTATTAGCATTGGCTAAGACAGGGGGTGGGGGAGGTGTTATCAATTGTATTCTTAAAAAAGAGCCCATGGACCGAAGTCAGGGCTGAGTGCTTTTGCATAATTCATAGCAGTTATGTGCAAGTAAAACAGAAACTTCTGAATAACATTTACTGAAATTGAAGTCTTTATTTCAGTTTATGTTGATATCTAGATTGATGTTCTGGTAGAATCAAATCAAACCAAAATCAAACATTAGTTTGGATTGAAGTTAGGACTGAACAATTGGGCATCATTCAAAATTGTGTGCAACTTAAACATTACTGAATAACATTTATTGAAATATAAATTAGTCTTTATTCCTGTTTCTGTTGAGTCTTTATTTAGTTTTTGTTGATATCTAGATTGATGTACTGGTAAAAGGGGGAGGGGGGGGGGTTAAAACAAATATTAGTCTAGACTAAGGTTAGGGCAATTTGGCATAATTCAAAACTATGTGCAAGTTAAACATTATTGAATAACATTTACTGTTGAGTCTTTGTTTAGTTTTTGCTGATATCTAGATTGATGTATTGGTGAAAGGGAGGGGGGTTTAATCAAATATAAGTCTGGACTGAAGTTAGATTTGAATGGTTTGGAATATTGGAATAAATGGTATAATTATAAAAATAAAAAAATAATTTAATTTTTTAAATACACAAGAGACTACTTGATCTTCTGTGATGCAAATAGCCTTAATATAAGATAAAATTGGAGGCAGAAATAGTAGATAAAACAGGCATCAAACCTTGTGTAATGCTTTACTAAATGTTAAGAAGCAGACAAGAATTTGATTGGGATGTCTGATTGCTCTGATTATATTTGTCTTAAAATAACAAAGAGTCTGACCGCCTTTTAAGTTTTGTTACTTGTATAACTTATTGAGAACATAGTCTCCGATCAAGCTTATTTTATACATCTGACTCATTGAAAAGATTTATGATTCTTAGGTTTTTATTTGGTTGGGAAAACTACTTATCTTGCTTATTTTGATTTTCACACTTTGAAGATCAAACTTAAGATTAGTAATTCACTTATCTTGCTAATTTTAGTTGAAGTTTAAGGACATAAGACTCCTTCAAAAGTTCATCATGCATTTTATTTATTCTTTGGATTAAGCGAGTGTCAAATATCATCTTTTCAGTACTTATCAAGATATTTCACTTTTCAGGATTTTATAAAATGAGCTCTAAGAGGAATTAGACCCAAGATTAAGAAATCAATGCCACATGGTAAATTCTCATTTTTTAAATTAGCTAAAACTTTTTATCATATAAAGCAAAAATCGCAAAAAATGTTATTATCCGGAAACATCATTTGTAAAATTATTTTCAAATTATCATTTACCAGTTGGCATGACAACTGTCAACGCAAATAATACCAATAACAAAGTAATTAGCCATCCAACCAAAATGGCCGACTTAATTAGCTATCCGACCAAAATGGCCGACTTTAATTAGCCATCCGACCAAAATGGCCGACAATGCAACACATTTAAATGAAGCACTGTAAACTATTAGATATTACCAACTCTAAGAAAAGTCATTAGCTTGAAATTTTTGAATATCATTTTTCTTATGTTTCTTTTCTATAATAGCAGAAATATACTGTAACTATGTACATGTAGTTGTTTTAAAGCATGGGAATTTTCAGACTTCTACATGTATTCAACATGTCTTGGTTTTGTCATTAGCATTGGCTAAGCCAGGGGTTGGGGAGGGGGAAAGGTGTGATCAATTGTATTCTTGAAAAATCATGATTGTGTATATCTCTAATGAGTCAAATCAGTTTTCCAACAGGGTATTCATTTTAGTAATCCAACAGGGTATTCATTTTATGTTCTCAAAAATACTCTTTATTATATAATAGCAAAACTCTTTGGTAAATTAACATGGCAGGTAATATAAAAGAAGGTTCCCTTAAAGTTGAATATTCATCAGATTAAGTGGATCATTTTTCCTGTCACATGTGTCGCATAATTATATAATTGAAAATATGTCCAGTAAAAGAAAATATTGTGTGGCTGTCTAACACAATAAATGATATTTCACTTTTAGTGATTTTATAACATGGGGTCAATAGGGAATACCCTCGACCTAGAAGTCACATTTTCAAAGAAAATTATTTTTCAAAGTTGATAAATACTTTTTTAAACCACATTTCTAGATGCAATTTTACATGTAGACTTCAAATATGATATCACTTTGATTAAATTTTGATTATTTAATGAAGTAAATCAAGATTATTTCTACATGCATCTTCATGTAGTCTTTTTGTTGCTGTAGCTAATATTAATGTTGAACTGTTTTTTAATTCTAACATGAAGTGTCAGGAAATGGCATTAACTAGTTTACTCGCACTTTGACAAATTTTATTTTCAAAATCATTTTGAAAACCTAAGTCAGTGTTTAAGACAAAAACGTTATCTTATAGTGTACTAAACAAAAAATTCAAAAAGGCCATAGTTAAGCTTTAATGTTCTGTTTAAGAACCCCTATTCTTACTATTGAAAATGGATTCTACTCACCAACACAGATCTATTTTTTAAGACTCTATCAACTTGAGTTCTTCTGAGAAAATGAGGATTTAGCAAGGGTACAATGATTTATATGGGGACATACTTCATTGGTTAATGACTTAGCATTGGGATACCATCATTTATCCTATGCCAAGTAGAGTTTTAGGGAGATGAGTTGGTAAGATATATCCCGTATCCTGATTTTGAGGTTTCCATATCCAGAACCTCCATATCTTCCGCCATATCTTCCGCTTCGGTGCATATCTTCCGCTTCCGGTGCATATCTTCCCGCTTCCGGTGATGCAATAAAATAACTTTGCATATGAATGATTTGTTTATTTTTACACCTTGTACTAGAAATGGCCATATGGCCCTGAAAACTCTACTTGGTATAGGATAAAGCAGTTATGTACGGTCGGTTTGGATAATGGGTTCATCCCTCGTGAGATATGCACATCTACCTTGGCCCCTACAGTCCCTCAGGTAGATATGCATATCTCCCTCTGGATAAACCCCATATCCAAAACCTCCCAGTACATAAACCCTTATATATCCTGCATGTATGTCACCATGTTAAAGTCAATGTACCCTTGCTGAAATTCTCTGTTTTCTCTGAAGAACTCAAGTTGATTGAGTTTCATGTCGGTGAGTATTACTAGAATCCATTTTCAGTAGTTAGAATAGGGGTTCTTAATCAGAATACTGGGCTTGCTTTTTGGAACTTTTTGTTGGTACTAATAATTGTTTTTGACATGTCATTGCAATTTCATAGAGGTGTTTTTTTGACATGTCATTGTAATTTCATAGAGGATGTCAGTCTTGGATGATCGTATACATGCCAATGCAATTTAAAGAGGCATGGTTATTGTTTATCATTTATTAGGTGCAACTTAAAATACTGACTTTTACATTAAATCTAGTCCTTCACAATTATGGATTTTTCTCAAAGTGAAAATGGTTGCATTTACTTGCAATGGTTGCAAGAAAATCATTCAAACCTGCCAACCATTTGTAATGGTTACAAATCATTGAAACACTTTCAATGATTTGCAACCACAATTGCAATGGTTGCATCCCAATGGTTGGCAATCATTACAGCGATGGTTGGAACAATGGTTGTGCAATGGTTTGTAACCATTTGTTTTCGGAATTTCAAGGTCGGAATTTTTATAAGGGATTGCATAATATGTGAGATTGTTACAAATTATTCCTTTAGACTCTTGTAAAATTCTACTTGAATTAAAACATCCAAGCAAAGCCTTATTTCCATGTCCATTTCTCGACCAATTTTTGCATCTATAGAGATGAAAACGTCTATGGTCATTAAACTTATAGCACAAGTAAGAAACATTTGCACCGATTGCCTTTAACAAGGCGAGTTTATTACAATATAACTCATATTTCTGCCAAATAGTTTAAATGTTCTAAAATAACAATTCATTTTCTATAAATGCTCCTCAACATTATTATTATGTATCTTCAAGTTGATGAAGTTTATTCTTAACATTTTAATTTTTGCAATAGCCTTGCTATTTAATGAGGATATCCCAGGTAATTGGTAATTTGGCATTAAATACGTTTAAAATGACAATTAACCCAATTTACTTATCTTATACTTGAAAACAACGAGTTTTTATGTTATATGTGTCTATTTTATAATTATGCACCCAGCTAAAACAAATATACCCTAAATTAAGAAAAAATATTGTTAGCAATTGGAATTCACCATATTAAACTGGGTGAACGATGGTACTTTTTACACTTGGTTTTCTGTCAAAAAGTCATAATTTCTGAAACGCTGATACAACATAATAGTATCCTCAAACGTTATAAGAATAATGTGATGCACAGAATTTTGTTTATGTTATTGTAATGTAACTTTAATAAAGATAAATAAATAAAGTAAAAAAGTACATTTTAAATTAATAATTTAAATTTTTTAATGCACACAAAGGTAATGGTACGGTCATTTTAACCAATTTTAGTAAAACACATGTTTAGTAGTGAAGTGAATTATGAAGAGATCAGAAATTATTTTGCTTTGAATAACAATAAATCATAGACAATAAAATGTCTTGTTTTTATGGCATTTTTATACCAGATATGTTTTCAAAATTCCAAATGTCATTGAACACTGATTTTGAAATTAATAAAACGACTATATAACCTATGTCACTTGAGCTTTGTTTGTAAATAGATACTTCAAGCACTACATCGAAGTTTGGATTCAACGCACTTGTGAAAGATTCTTTTGCTAGAGTTGTAACATTGGATTGAATGGTTGCCGATATGACAACTTGACTCTACGGATTGAAATTGATGCTTTGTCAGCTTGATCATTTCAAAAAATTTCCTTGAAAATATGTTTAGTGATCTTTTAACATCATGGTAGGGAATATTTTGCAATACGGGAATAAAATTTAAGCCCAGGACTCAATGCATTGTGGAACAACCATTCCTTCCAAGCGTTGTTTCCTAAGATTAATAGTCTTGCTCAAAGACTGTATCCACCCCCCCCCCTCACCTTCACTCTCTTTACCTGGCAATATATAGAGAGAAAGATAAAGGGGGGGGGGTACAGGGTCTTTTAAGCAAGACTATACGATTAACACTTGGTGCTGCGCATCTTGAGCAGATTTTGGAAAGCAACACTTTCAAGGATCGGGAATGCTCATTCCACATTACACTAAGAGTCCAGTGCTTAAATCTTTGAACCCTTTTCTTGAACTAGTACAAATTGTAAATTAAAGTAAACTACTGTTATCCGTTGACTTGAAAATACAATTACTTTTCTGCATGAGCTTGAAGCTCTTAGAAGATGGTTTGAATATCAAAATCTATTGATATTGCAGGTTACGTATGATTTTGAATTTTCGGGTTGAGTTTGAAATCAGAATATAGATAACTGTATAATTTATCTTTCCTATTTCAATATGGGACCTTGGTACCATACCGCAACCTGGTGTTATTGCTTATGTCCCCATCAAGGTGTCAGCATTGCCAAGTGACTGTTTCATGATCTTTGAGAGTTCAATATCCCTGCAAGAAAATGACGCATACATTTTGTCTAAAAATCATATAGTAATGGAGGAAAAAACTACTAAGACTTGAGAAAATGGCCATATAGTATAATATCCCAAATTCAATATAATATCAAAACTTTTTATTTCATTTGTGATATAAATTCGATATTAGTAGTCGTTGGTTAAGTGGTATTTTATTAATTGGATGGCAGATTCAATTGTTTTCTGGTCGTATAAAATGTACCTGCTCCTTGTAAACCACTGCAGCTACATTTTCGGAGGTGTGTGGACGTTGACTTCACCCAACGGAACAGAAGCATGAATGGTAAGTTACCTGTATCGCATCTGAGGGGTAATATAGAAAACACTTATATTTATTAGCCTGGAAATTTTTATTATTACATGTATGTAAGCTAACCGTTTGTTGTTGGAACCAGGGAAATAAATGCACTATTTTTCGCGAAAATAAAAAAAAAACTATTTTGTACACCATATTGTTTCTTGAAATAAGGCCTAAACGTAAATCGAAAAAAATCAAAAATTGAACTAAAATATTTTTGTATTTGTTTATATTTGCAAAACAGCTTTGAATGGATTCAAATAATATTGAACTAAAACAGATATACTTTCCAACGAAATCTGGGATGAATACTGTATGTGCGAAGCGTAGCTAGGATTGACAAAAAGGCGATAAAAGAAATCCTAATGGATTGGATGAAATTATTAAATGTTATTTCTTTAGAAGAAAGCAAAAACGTTTGGTTCCACTTTTGGATGTTCGATACATTCTTGGATTCTATAGAGCACGATTGAGATACGATTGTTGAGCCAAATATAAAGTTAATATATAAGGGGAAATCTCAAATTATTGAACATAATTGACATACGAGGGTTTAATCAATAGGTTTTGGAACATATATGTGATTATTATACTGTTATACAAAGGTTGAGCCAAATAAAACATTTGCAATTGCCCCGTGTCTTGAAATACCGGGTAAATCAAAATGCAAATACCAGAACATAGTTGACATACGAGGATTGATCAGAATGCAAATTCTGGAAGGCATCGGACATTCGAAGTTTGACCAAAATGTAGGTACTGAAACATTATTGACAAACGTCACTCAATTCAAGTATAAAATCTGGAATTAAGTTGAGATAATGGGCAAATCAAAATGTAAATTCTGTAAGGGGAGGCATCAAAAGTTCGATGTCGGATCAGAAACTAAATAAATCTAGTTTTGACTCAGACCTCCCCCCCCTCCCCCCAAAACAAAATAAATATGAAATGTTGAAATTCGTCTGATAGCAAACTGAAATGGGTTTTGACTCAGACCTCCCCCCCCTCCCCCCAAAACAAAATAAATATGAAATGTTGAAATTCGTCTGATAGCAAACTGAAATGGGTTTGAACCCCCTCCCCCTTAACTAGATTTATTTAGTTTTCTATCCGACATCGAATTTTTGATGCCTCCCCTAACATAATCGGAATTCCAGCCAAATGTAGATTCCATATCATAATTTATACGAGGGTTGAGTCAAATGTAAAATCTGAAACTCATTTTGAGATCCAGGGCAAATCTAATTGCAAATTCTGGAAAACTTATATTTTACATTGGAGAGTGATCAAAATGTTTACCCTTAACATTCGTTCGACTTCACTTGTTAAAAGAGAGCTCCGTCTTCACGTTTAACTAGACTCTGCACGCAGGGTACAAAATGTTGGACTGAATTGATAACGAGTGGTGAGTTTTAAATGTAAATTCTAGAGCCCGGAGATACAGGGCAAATCGAAATGCAAATTCTCAAACTTAATTGACATTCAATGGTCAATCAAAATATAGGTTCTTTAAAATTATTGGCATACGTGTACCAGTGGTGACACAAATTATTCAAAATAACAAGCGTTGAGTCGAATGTAAATGATAAAACTCAGTTTACTCATAAATGCTAATTCTGGATCATAATTGACAATCGAGGGTTAAAGAGACTGTAGGTTCTGAAATTTAATTAAAATACGAGGGTTGAGCCAAATGTGAATTCTGGAACTACAGGAACCCGACGAATCCAAAGATATGGAACATAATTGACAGTACGGTTGGTCGAAATGTAAAGTGTGGAATTTAATTGAGATATCATGGATGGTTGATCGAAACAAATTATAAATCCTTGAATACTTGAGATACGAAATTGATACGGGGTTGCATGGTCGGAATAAAGATTCTAGAACACATCTTAAATACGAGGTTCTATCCAAAAATAAATTCTACAAAACAATTGAATGTAGCCTACATTTCTTAACATTGTTTCTCAAAATCATCCAATATCTTTCAGACAAAATGGCGAAGTTGCTTTTGCCGTTGGCGCTCGTGCTGATGACGTGTGTTCACCTATCGTCTGCGCAATGTTTCACCGGATGTTACTGTAACGAGGAAACGAGAGAAGTCCTATGTGGAAAGGACCTGACATCTTTCCCGTACACATCTGGATTGATCGCAGAACCGACAAGACTTCAAATCAAATGCCAAGATGGATTCGAGATTCCTAGTCTGAAGAAAAGCGATTTGGACAATTATATCCATTTAACCCGATTAGAGCTTCTTGGCTGTGGTTTACAAGACATTGCTGACGATGTGTTCGACAGTCTAACAGAAGTAATTTTTCTCGGACTTGGAAACAACAAGCTATCATCAATTCACCAACACACATTTTCGAAACTTACCCAACTCACAACGTTGTTGCTCCACCAGAATGAATTAACGGAGATTCCCGATAACGCCTTTATACACCTTACTAACCTGAAGACCGTCCGTATATCAGACAACAAGCTTAAACGTATCGGTAAACATGCATTCGAAGACATACCTTCCCTCCAAAATCTTTGGATTGAAGGTAATCCCGAGCTCACTGAGGTTGACAAACTGGCTTTTGCTAGCTCTTCTATAGAGTATCTTACGATAGGTGGCGCAGATTTGTCCGAGGATTTCATCACACCACTGAAGCATTTAACTGGCTTGAAAAATCTACGTTGGAATTTAAATAAACGGCCGATTAATCTACCTGTCGACAGCTTTGAAAGTTTTGATCTAACAAGTTTGGACTTAAGTGGCAATCAAATGTCGAGTCATCGTTTTCTGGAAAAGACACGTGCTCGCACTGTTCGACTACACGATAACCTTTACACTTCCATTGACTTTTTGCCGTACACTCTACCAAATACAACCTACCTCGGGATAAGCAGAAACAAAATATCGACACTTGATGCGTCTAAAATTGGACATTTGAAAACATTGATGTACCTAGAGTTAGACGACAATTTGATCGATGAAGTCACCGGTACTCTCTCGTCTCTAACAAACCTTGTTAGATTCGCGGCAGGTCGGAACAGAATACAGCATTTGCCAGAAGGATTCTTCAAAGAAAATACACAGCTACAGAAAATTGAATTAGAAGAAAATCTAATCGATAATTTGAATGGAGCAATGTTTCCTGTGCAAAACTCTCTTACCTCGCTTGAGTTCAATGACAATCGCATCGAAAGAATTTCAGATGACATGGAGCCCATACTCAGAGGGAATGTTCTCACAAGTAACTCGGGGTATATCTTGCTATACAATAATCCCCTTCACTGTAACTGCGAGATGAAATGGTTGAAGCAATTAGTGAATGAGAAACCAAGTATTTTGGAGCACCCCTTCCCAAGAAATATTGAAACGATATGCGCTTCGTCATCAAAGCCAATCAAAGACATGGAATCTGCAGACATGGTGTGTACGACACCTAGCATTAGTCACATGACGCATCCAGTTGGAAATGAGCCCTGGAAATGCACCGCCATCGGCGATCCTGCGCCTGCTGTTGAATGGTTGAACCCAGATGGTGACGTCATTGCATTTAATAATCCTACCAGTCGAGGTGCTGCCGCTGTCTCAGTTGATTTACCACAAGAGCATGTTCCAGTGGGTACGTTTACATGCGTCGCTAAGAGTGATGTTGGAGAAGCAAAAGCCCAAGTGTATTTGATGGGACAAGAAAATGATGTATGCCCAACTGGCTGTAATTGTGATGAAATTGGGAAATCAGTCAGTTGCGGGACGGGACTCACTGCTTGGCCCCAGGATTCTGGTCTCGAGGGTGTGAAAAGTTTAGTTATTTCCTGCAACGACGGTTTCGAGATCCCCCATGTCACAACATCGAACTTTGACAATTATCCCTCTCTGACACGATTGAGTTTGAATAATTGCGGAACACAAGACATTTCTGATGACGTATTTAACCTTCTTACTGAGGTTACTTTTCTTGGGCTCCCTGGAAATAAAATTACATATGTTCACCAGAATACCTTCAGTAAGCTCACCAAACTTAAGACCCTTTTACTACAGGGGAACCTTATTGAAGAAATCCCAGATAATGCATTCATCCATCTGCGAGAATTGACAACAATGCGTATGTCCGACAATAAATTGAAAAAAATTGGCAAGAACGCTTTTGCAGATTTAACGCAACTGAAAAACCTTTGGATCGAGGGAAATCCTGAACTATCTGATGTTGACGACGATGCATTCACAGATTCACATATTGACAATTTGTCCATAGATGGTGACCTTGATGAAGGGTTTATTGACTCGCTTGCCCCTCTTAAAGATATGAACACTCTACAATGGAAGAACAACGCAAGGGCGATCAATCTGCCTGCTGACAGTTTTGTTGGCTTTGATTTTCAGTCCCTCGACTTAAGCAATAACCAGCTTGAAAATCTCGACTTTCTCGAGAATTTGAAAGCCGGAGTATTACGCCTTGATAACTGTGGTATAAGTAGCATTGACTTTACGCAATACGATCTACCAACAACAACATTCTTGTCCGTTCAGAACAACCAAATCACCTCTGTAGATCTTAATCAATTGGACCATATCACTACGCTGAACTACTTGTATTTAAGTTACAATGCTATCACTGAAGTTAAGGGCACATTGGAACCCCTATCCGAACTCTTACAGTTCTCGATTGCGAAAAATCAACTGAAAGAAATCCCTCAAGATTTATTCAAAAAGAACCCAAAAATTATTAAATTTGAGTTTGACAATAATGAAATCGAAACTATAAGTGGGTCTATGTTTCCCGATGACACTTCTGTGAGGTTTTTAGAATTGTTCAGCAACCACCTCCAAACTATACCAGATGATATGGAACCTATTGTCCGACAAGGAATTCTTGATTCCGGTTATTTCCATATCCACGAGAACCCTCTTCATTGCAACTGCGAACTCAGATGGCTGAAAGATCTCCTCGAGGAAAAGCCAACCATACTTGATTATATGACGTCCATTCAATACGATGTTCTCTGTACGACGCCCAAAGTTACTAAGTTTAAAGAGATGGACGCAAGGGGCCTCGAGTGCTCGTCTCCCGTCATCGAAGCGCCAAAAGTTCCCGAAAATGGCGACCAGTGGTTGTGTAAAGCATCAGGTGACCCCGCCCCAACTGTGGAGTGGAAAACAGCCGCAGGTGTTGTGGTAGCAAAGACTGAACCCCATACGAGGAGTGACCCTAGTGTGAGTGTTAGCCTACCCAAGTCTTCCGAAGAACCTGGAACGCTAACTTGTACGGCTCGTAGCTCATACGGATCTTCAACGGCCAGCGTTGTCATAACAGACAGTTCATCAGATTCTACAACAGTTTTTGCATCTATGTCTATCATTCTTTTTTCATGTCTGTCATTATTACTGATCATTTAAACAGAAGATATAATACTATATGTTATGTTTTTTTGTATTGTATTGTGGTGTATTCTTTTGTTTTGTATTCCATTCGTATCACATTGTATTGTAAAATTAAAATGATTTACTGTACGCCCAGTATTTTCCGCGAGTTTTAATTTCGCGAATTTTGAGAAATACCATTAAATTTCGCGGATTTCAAAGTTTTAAATTCCATTATTCTCTGGATCCTCAAGATCTGTAAACTAATTTACCTTATCTACAGTAATAAGACCTACCCAATGTCACATTTTGATAAGATTTACAATTTCTAGGTCTTAGTCAACGGCATGTTACACCTCAGCCTTTAATTGGCGAAATTCGCGACGATTAATTTTCGCCGATTTTAACACAGTCGCGAAAAGCGCGAAACTAAATCGCACGCGAAAAATACCGGGCGTACAGTATACATATTTATTAACACGATATGAAATTACTTGGAATAGGAGAAGTATAAAAGATGATATATAAACACACTAATACTTGCTTTCAATATTGACTCATTTTATTCCAAATGGGCGTTAACATAACTTTTTATTTTACTATGTCTCAATTTTTATTTCTGAGTTGAATTATAATCCTCGCTTTTTATACTACTTATGTTCACATTTCATTATAAGCGAACATATTTTGCTATGGAATATATACATGTATCTGGGTCTATCTTCCTGGCTAATTACGTTAATTACGACCGTATATGTATACGGGATATACCCAAGAGGCATTGCTCACCTTCATTGGTGGTAAACAAAATACAATACAATATATGATGACTAAAAAGCGTACATGTACCAGTATACCACCAAGATCTATGTAGATACTTTCTTTGTTGACGATTGCATGCTTGCTTGATTTGGTTTCATTCTCTTTGGCTTTATATTGTTTAAACTAGTTTGGTTATGCTGGAGAAGTCGATTTGTGAACTTTATGTATAATGTGATAGTCGACCAATGATAGCATTCCAATAAAGGATTTATGAATATAAATGTAGATTTTTACGTACTGTTTGTAATTAAGGGATTTGGGTGTAATGTTAAATACTATCAGAGATAGACATCCCTTTCCATTGTACGGCCAGGTCTTGTAGTCATTCGGGAGATGAGCACATTTCCCTCTGGACAACTCCTGTACCTGAAACATCCCAGTACAAACCCTTTATACCCTTTTAAACAATTTCCTAACAATATGACACCGTCCAATTAAAAAGACTTTGTTTTCTTGTGGAGTTAGAGGCCAAAATTGACAACAGGGGTACCATGAGCGACCAAAAATCAAAAAACGAAAATTCCCAAATTTCCCTCCATACTGCAATCACAGCTGCACTCAATATGCTTGACTGAATCATCATAAATTTATTCAAGAGTAATACACAATTGATAATTAATGAAAAAGATATACATATTATTGGTGAATTTTGCACTAAACGTGTCTAAGTGTATATATTTCGAAGGTGCCTAAGTTTCAAATTTCCCTCCATTTCTACAATTTGGAAATCCGCAGTGAATAATTTTTTGGTCGCTCATGACAACCCTGGTGTCAATTTTAGCCTCTAACTTCACAGGAAAACATTGTTTTTTCAATCAGATTGTGTCATATTGTTTAGGAAATGATTTATCTTTAAAATGGTATATAAAACATGGCATGGTTTAACGTTATATTATATGATATTCATCCTTAAACTTGGGTATTGGTTTTCTGGCCTACCCTGTATATTTCACAAGCGATATTAATTTCTTTCTTAATGGGCATAGCGAGGAGGGAGGTTAAACAAATGTGTCATCATAATTTTACAGAAAAATATTAATTCCGATTTTTTTCTTGTGACACTGAAAATAAAGTCTGATTATAACCACTCATATCTGCCTCGCCTATTTAAGGTTTGCCGATTTTCGATCCTTGATACACCCTTGTACTTGAAAATGGGATTGGGAAAAACACCTTAAATTTTATGGAGCTGTCACTCTTAGGCCTTGCGGTGGTGGGCAAAAGATGTAGTTTTACAGCAAGGTAACCCCCCCCCCCCCATCACACCAAATACAAAAAACTAAATGTCCAGAAAATGCCGCGAAGTGGCGAACGGTGAGCCATACATGTATCACTACTTTACATTTCGGAAACGTCCGATTGAGGATACTGCGACTACTCATGATGAAGGAATTGTTTTGCTTTGTATGAAGCAAGTTTGAAGAAAAACGATGCAGTATGAGACTCACAACCCTTGTTTTCCAACACCTGGTAGGCCGAACGCTTATTTTCGTGTATAGTTGGACCCGCGTGAGTATCCCGGGGTGAGTATACATAAGTACACGTGCCTCATTTTGCCTCACATTCACAATTTTGCCTCAAATATTTTGAGATTATGGCCACGCCCCTAAAATCTAAAGTTGGTCACTCTGTTTGTCACTGTGTAATGAATTCTTGACACCCTGTATATTTACATCGAAAACCAGTCACATCAAGTCATCCATGGGGAAATATGCTATCAATTGTTTTTAGTCTACTTTTGGTCACCAAAATTTCTCAAAGAGCTCAAAATATCACTTTAGGTACTTCTGAACAACCCACGATGGCTTTCTCAAGAGAGGCTCAGCTTTAATGCCTCTGTAGTACGAAAATGCCCCTTTGCATAATCACTGGTCAGTATCAAGCGAAAGTAACAGCCGTCACCTTTGCATCAAAGATGGCGGACGATATTTCCTATATTTTTAGTTCTCATTGAATTAAACTACTTTAGAGTTGACGTAATGCTTTGATATTTGAACCAAATCAGACTTACATGACATGGGAACTATGGAATATGATACTTTGTTCATTTATCATGCGTAGGCGCCACAGTTCAACGATATCTTCCATCGCTTAAGGAAAGGTAACTGGAAATGTAAGATATGGTAACGGTCATATTAGTTCTCAATACACGGTAACTTGACATCATAGCTCTCCATTATAAACTCCCATAACGTTACCGCATCACCCCATATCAGTTGTTTCATCTGTAAAACCAAAATCCAAGTTACCTTCCCTTATAAAGTGTGTAAGAACGTTACATTTGATAAAATTGGTACCAATTAAAAGCTTATAAATCATTAAAAGGAACACATAAATTTCAAATTGTTTTTTCTGTGACTGAAAAGGGTTCACATTTGATCCGATGTATGAAACCATGATCAATCTTGTTCGAATAGCCTACATGTATACGGTAGCTAGCCATGATTGTTTAACCCGGGTTCGAAACAGTTTATACTCGTGTAGAGTTTATCGAACTTTTAGTTGCAGAACGCTTGACATATAATTTTGCACAATTGTGTCAACATTGAAAAATTGCTTGAGTACCAAAAAGTTGTAATTTTTAAGTCTGTTCAAGTGCTCTTTTTAATGAGTTTTTCTGTTTTTACGATATATCTACCCGGTACATGAGCTATAAATTTAAACAATGAGAAAAATACTTGGTTTATGACAATTTAATGCCAAAAATATATCGAATTTATGATTTGTCAAAATTTGAATTATTGTCGTGAAATTAGATTGAAATGAATAAAACAACTATAATATAACCATTGACATTTTTATACCATAGTGGTATGCATATTCTGAAGATGCATGGCCTTGTTTATTAGCAGAAATAGCGCAATAATAATTGCAAATTATTGCAGTACTCATATTTTTATGCGATTATATGGCTGTTTCAGGTCGTTTGTACGTGATTTAACCTGATTGACACTGATTCATTGTCCATACTAGGGTTATAAAGATTTGTGATTGTATAGCCCCCGATAGTTGCTTCACCGAGCCACTCCCATCAACGACTTTATGTTACATTGGTGAAAAAAGTAAGTTATATATCGCAAGGTGTAAATATTTTACAAGGATATATGATATAACTATGGATATTTTTTTCTCGCATCAAACATTTGATAATATGCCATTGCTTTGCTATTTTCAGACAAGATGGCTTCCAGAGCGCCTTTGATCGCGTTGGTGCTCTTTAGCTTCGCGGAGTTATCGTCTGCTCAATGCTTTACCGGATGTGCGTGTGATGAGGGAAAGGGAGATGTAATATGCGGAACGGGCCTGACTGCATTCCCGCGAGATTCTGGAATGATTGCTGAGCCGACAAACCTGCAAATCACCTGCAAAGATGGGTTCCAGATTCCTCATTTGACCAAAACAGATTTCGACAATTACAAGCACCTGACCCGTTTGTACATCCAGGAATGTGGCTTGCTCGACATCGCCGATGATGTGTTTGAGCTTTTGACGGAAGTAACATATCTCAGCCTTTCGTACAATAAACTATCATCCATACACCAGCACACATTTTCTCAACTAACAAACCTGGTAACGTTAATGCTTTTTAAAAATGAAATCACCGAGATTCCGGACAATGCATTCATACATTTACAAAACCTAAGGACTGTTAGTCTAACCAACAACAAGCTTAAACGTATCGGGAAACATGCCTTTAAAGACTTGCCTGATCTTCGAAATCTTTGGATCCAGGACAATCCTGAACTAGCTGAGGTTGATGATCTCGCTTTTGCCGACTCCTCGATAACGTTTCTGACAATAGGGGCAACAGATTTAACGGAGGATTTCATAAATCCGCTCAAACATTTGACGAAATTGAGTAACCTTCGCTGGACGCATAACAAACGACCCATTACTTTACCAGCTGACAGCTTTGAAACTTTCGGCAATCTTGTATCGCTAGACTTGCGAAGCAATCAAATGACGAGTCATCGTTTCCTGGAAAAGACAAGTGCTCAAATGATACGACTGGATGGGAATCTGTACACGACACTTGACTTTTTACCATATACCTTACCAAACATAACGTACCTAACCATGGAAAGGAACAAAATTACAAAGCTCGACACCTCCCAGATTGCCCATTTGAAATCTTTGCGCTCCATTGATCTCGATGATAACTTAATAGATGAGATAACTGGTACACTATCTCCTCTTCATAGCCTCGAACGATTCTCCGCAGCCAGAAATAAAATCCAACATTTACCAGAAGGATTTTTTAAAGAAAACACACAGCTCCAAAGAATAGAATTAGAAGAGAACGTCATCGATAACTTAAATGGAGCTATGTTTCCCACTGAAAATTCTCTGTACATATTTGAATTTCATAGCAACAACATCGAAACCATTCCGAGTGATATGGACGCCATATTAAGGAAGAACATGATAGATAGGACGGATGCGTACTTCATGATATACGACAATCCTCTCCATTGCAACTGCGAGCTTGGTTGGTTACGACAGTTGCTGAACGAAAAGCCGGGACTATTAGACAACCCCCGGTTCCCTAAAAACATCGACACAGTCTGTGCCTCTTCATCAAAACCAATACAAGACATGGAGACGTCAGAAATGGTTTGTGCTACCCCTAGTATAACTCACATAACGCATCCAGTAGGCAATGCACATTGGAAATGCACCGCCATCGGTGATCCTGCCCCTGCTGTCAAATGGTTAAACCCAGATGGTGACGTCATTGCGTTCATGAATCCGACAAGTCGAGGAGATGAATCCGTTTCGATTGATCTCCCTCAGGAGCATGCCCCAAAAGGTACCTTTACGTGTGTTGCTAAGAGCGACGTCGGTGAAGCTCAGGCACATGTGTTTTTAGTTGGACAAGAGGAAGATTATTGCGCGACCGGATGTGTTTGCGACGAAGTATATAAGTCAGTGACATGCGGAGAAGGACTACAAGAATGGCCGCAAGAACCAGGTCTCGACGATGTAGCAAGTTTAATAATTACATGCCAAGATGGTTTTGAGATCCCTCATATCACAAAATCACACTTTGATAACTACCCATCTTTGACAAGATTAAGTTTGAACAATTGCGGGACACAGGACGTATCAGATGACGTATTTGACAGTCTTACCGATGTTACTTTCCTTGGACTTCCTGGAAATAAGATAACATATATTCACCAGAATACCTTCAGTAAGCTATTTCATCTTAAAACACTCCTTCTGCAGGGAAACCTCATTGAGGAAATACCGGAGAATGCATTTATTCATCTGCACAATCTAACGACAATGCGCATGTCTGACAACAAATTGAAACGTATCGGAAAGAACGCTTTCGCTGATTTAACTCACATGAGAAACTTATGGATCGAAAACAACCCTGAGTTAACTGACGTCGATAAAGATGCGTTCGCAGATTCGCATATTAACTATCTGGCGATAACTGGCGATCTAGACGAAAGCTTTGTAGAATCGTTAGCCCCTCTCAAGGATATGAAGACTCTAATTTGGACCGATAACGCCAGGTCGCTCGATTTACCCGTGGACAGCTTCACTGGATTTGAATTTCTCTCTCTTGACCTGAGCAATAGTCCCCTTGATAATTTAGACTTTTTAGAAAATGTTAGATCCGCAAACCTTAAATTGGACAATTGCGGGATCCGCAATAGTGATTTTACGAGATTCGACCTACCAACGACATCAATATTATCCGTACAGAAGAATAAGATTACGTTCTTAGATCTGGATCAACTGGCCCATATCTCCACGTTGAGGTATTTGCTGTTAAGTGAAAACGACATCACTGAAATTAAAGACACGCTCGAGTCTTTTCCCGATCTTGTACAATTCTCTATGGCTAAAAACAAACTGAAAAAGATTCCTCAAAACTTATTCAAAAATAATCCTAAAATTGTCAAACTTGAGTTTGAATATAATGAGATTGAAGAAATCAGTGGCTCGATGTTTCCCGAAGAGTCCACTATAAGATATTTCGAATTTTTCGGCAACCACATTCAAACTATACCAGACGATATGGATGCTGTATTAAGGCGAACGATTCTAGACACGTTCGGTTATTTTCACATCCATGAAAATCCTCTGCACTGTAACTGCGAACTAAAATGGCTGAAGGATTTGCTTGAAGAAAAACCAACAATATTTGATTTTGGTACGTCCATCCAACATGACGTCATGTGCACGACCCCCAAGGTAACCAAGTTCAAGCTGTTAGACTCCGCAGAGCTTACCTGTTTGTCTCCCGTTATTGAAGCGCCAAATGTACCTGAAAATAACAATCAATGGGTTTGTAAAGCAGCTGGAGACCCCGCTCCAACAGTGGAATGGAGAACAGCAGAAGATGTCGTTGTGGCTAGCAACGAGCCACATAAACGAGGCGACCCATTTGTGAGCGTTAGTTTGCCCAAATCATCCGAAGAAGATGGGACGTTCACCTGCGTTGCCAGCAGCACGTATGGTTCTTCCACAGCCAGTGTAACTCTAGAAGATACGTCTTCCACTTCAAACTCTGCCAAAGCCGTCATATCAGTGTTTGCCTTTATGTTACCAAGTCTCCTGATGTTCAATTTTCTTATTTAAATATAAACTGCCAAATGAAATATACATATAACTATGCATAGGTTTCAGGCCGAAATAAAGACAGTGGGCGAAATATGAAAATTGACTGCACTGTCACACCGGAATAGCCTGACAACGGTAAAGTCAGATATCGTTGTCATAAATGGCAGACACAAGTTAACGTCGCTTCTCATGGGATTTTATCGTCGCTAATTCTGTGCATGTATTATAAGCTCTTGTGATTATGTTTCAAATGAAATCCCAATTTCGATGAAATTGGGTCGTGAATCGCCACAATATACATGTAGCGTCTTCAATATCGTCAATGACAACGGAATCTGACATATGGAAATGCAGTGGCCGTTGTCCCGTATCTCATTTTGATCGGTCAAATTAAATTTATTTCGATGGTAGAACATTATTAACTGTACATGTGCACTGAGTATTAAGACACTTTGATTGATTGTTGTTCCAAAGGAAAATCAAATTGAAGCGACGGTTATGTCCGCCATTTGTGACATCGGCATCTGACTCTACCATTGTCAGGCTTTTCCGGTGTGACTGTCATCTTTATTAAATGATATTTCTATCCTATGTTCAGTTTATGGATTATGTAACACTCTCTGATTTACAATAATACACATTATATTACTATATTATATACTATTTGAAATTCTAAATCGGATCCAATTCAAATATATTTGTGATATGTGTTAGCAATAGGTTCTCACGTGCTATTTCATCAACAACGTTATGCTTCAAATGTCGGGCTATGCCCATGCCCATTTCTGAGGACTGATAATGAAAGCATACACAAACTACATGCTCTATTTTTGAATTTATTGAATTGCAATATGTCAAAAATATAGGTTATTTGGTAAGTTTAAATCTCCGATAATCTTTTTGAATTGAAGTCACAAAATTAAAAAAAGGATTTTAATTAACCCTAATGCAAAAGCTCAAATGCACTCAAGCACTCAAGTTTTGGACATTGCAAAAATCAGTGCACCGGCATTCTGCAACTGGAATATTTCTTTCCCTGACTTGTTACTTTTTCCTTTTGGGCTATTTCAACAGCAAAGTGTTTATCACTCCTCAAAAGCATTGCAATAACCCATCGAGAAAGAATTACCAACAGGCTATTATTCTTCACCTAAACCAACAGATGACTCAAAGAATAGTTTGGATGATATAATATGATATGATATTATGCGTGTATGAGTTCACCTATCGTGTGTGCAAAGATTATAGAAATGTATGGGGCTTTATTCATGGTACATTGAATGAAATACATGCAGTCATCGCTGCTATGTGGCACGGCTCTCATAAGTTAAAGATTCGTGGTCTGATGACTTCCATAGCTTACACTGACTGAATGAGTGCCAGGTAACGCATATATGTAATTCACTTATCATTTCAAGTGGGCTGTTACTCATGGTCAGTCCCATTGGTTTATGTGTAAATAATATACAAATGTATAAAAATACATTTTCTCTTCAAATCAAGATGTTTTAAGATTTCAATACTTCAAAGTTCTAAATATTTTCATCGGAATTTATCCAAAGATATTTGAAGTATTTTGGTATGATATAGTGCACAATTAAACCCATTGAATTCTACGCCATCTTTGGACAGTCCATCATCTTGTTTCAAGTACAAGTTAGAAGGAACAAAATTTCACATTAATTAGATTAGACCAGAATAGAAAAATAATTGATTGAATCAAGAATAGATGTCTCTAAAAATGTTTAAAATGTGACATGTTAGCTACATGTACGGATGTCAATAGGTTGGCAACTGAGGTAAAACTTCGACCCCCGGGGATTACAGTTCCTCTCCCAATTCACTTTTCACAGGGACCTAATTATTTTCCGTATACTATCTTTTTACTCAACCGCCCAACACAGTACAAATGGGCCGGAGAACTTATCCACAAGGGACCGTAGTTCTAGACGTTCACGTACAAGTTTTAAAAAACGTGTACCACATCTAACCTTCCTATCAACAAGAACAACTGACAGATAAAACTTTCTGTCAAATAGATTTACGTATTAGGATATATTATTGACTTTAAGCTGGCATATAAAATCGAAACGCCAACCTGTACGTAGGACCAATCGCCCATACAAATGCATCGCTTAAATAACTTCCGTTCTCGTTTAGGTTGTGAAAAACAGTGCAAGCTTAAACTCCCTAATTTGCTATAAGTCTGTAAGGCCTATATGTCGTAATACATTTGGGATTTGCCTCGTATGATTTGTCAAATATATGTTTGTACAAGTCATAGGTATTGTCACTATTTTATTGCCCATCACCCTTTATTCTATCAAATCCTAGTTCTTTAGCCTGCTTTATACATTTGTCATATAAATAATGTTTGCCACTCCATATGTTAGATCAATCTCATATGTACTACGGGCATGAACTCGATCGATTTGATATCAAATAACGTACTTATTGTACATACCAGCATATGTATTGACTTATATTTATCATAGTTAGAAATAGATGGAATAGTACGAACGTTGTATAGTAAGCTACACATATAAAAGCCTTTATCTTGGTTCATTTGTACGAAACGCTATATACAAACCAATACGAGGTCATACAATTCAGAGAGATCAAAGTGCACTTTTTTACCACCAACTACTTCAAGTATTTCTCAAACGAGGACTTATAAGCAAGGACGAAAAAACCTAAAAGAGGTAAGTTTATATTTAAGTTTGTTTTAAATTTTTCCATTGGTAAAGGGCTTCTGAATTCTGATTGAGATTGATGAAGATTTCAGTTTTTCATTGGTGGATATGTTTTGGGATTATATTCTCTCTTGGGGAACATTATTTAGTATGAGCTTGAACACTTTATTCTAGATTTTGGCCCTCCCTAAAATGGGCTAATTTCTTCATCATGTCAACAGTGATTTATCGATGTTACAACGTACAATCCCTTTCCATATTTTGATTTACTTATTTAGATTATTGAGCAGAGATTCATCCTTTTCTATATTTTACTAGTACGCTCTTGGCCACAGGATACACATAGTACTTGTTTTCAAAAACAAACCGCCTGTGGTTTTGAGCTCGTTATAAGTTCACAGATATTTTCCTTATATTTTTGAGTCTTCCTTATTTTGTTGAGGTTTGTGGTTAAATATCAGCATCCATATTGCTTAGATACTTAGTGAGGTCACTTTAAGTTGACGAATAGGAATGTATTCTATGATATCCCGAGGGAGATTCCAACCTCCCAGAGACCTCTTTTGACCATGTTTTTCTTTCGAGAAGGACGCTTGGGTATGAGGTGTTTGTTAAGGAAGTTTAAAATTAGTTTAATTCCCCTTCCTCATATAGTACAAGCCTCTACTACAAGGTATTTAGTGAGGCCACACCAAGTTCAAAGAATAAGAACGTATTCTACGATCTCCCGAGGGAGTACACTCCTCTAACTATTTTTCTCTATCTGGTGGAACTCGGATTTGGCCTCAGAACATAGCTTCATCTATATACCCTGCTCGCAGAGTCTAGTTACAAACTAGCGAAGACGAAGCCCTCTTTAAAGGAGCTAGGCAAATGAAAAGGGTACTTCATCTATCTAGTGTCTAGTACTGGCCGATAATAGCCTGTGGGCTTCAGAGTATTTCATAGCTAGTAATATCGTTAGGTGCATACAAAATTACATTTCCGGATTTAGTAATCACAATATAGTAGTAACATTCTCACATATACATTCAGAATAATTCACGAGATCCAATACTTGTTTAAAAAACGATCGGTCATGAAACTAAATGTGTTACTATTTGAGTAAATAAAAGTCTCAAAAAACAAATATAAAACCTTGAAAGAAAATGTGTACGAAGTACTGAAGTTCAGATTTCAATGGATGTTTTCAATTGGCGCACTGACTCACACCTACTAACGATTGTTGTTGGACAAAAATACCAAATACGAAGTCATTATACATGTATAGTTCTTTATATAGACTCAAATCTACTGATTTTATGATGATTATTTATTGTTTTACCTATAAAAGTTCATTTTGAAAAGTTTAGAAATGTATATGTATGTAGGTATATGCAGTAAAACCTGTCTTAGTGAACACCTCTCTCTAGTGAACACCTCTCTCTAATGAACACCTGGTTCTAGTGAACACCCCAGTACATACCCCACTTACTTCTGTATAAATTGCCCTCTCATATAGTGAACACCTACCAACACTAAACTTTTTTTCGGGAAAAAGCTCAATATACACAGGTTTTACTAGGACTATTGCTTTTTAAAAGGGAGATACGCCAATCTCTATGTAATTGCCAGCCTCGGCAACCGGTAAGCGGTTTATGTATCGTTAATGATTTATCCTATAGAGTACAGCAAATTAACAACAAATTCATTGAACACACATGATAAATCAATCATGTATTATCATGAGAAATCATGGCCTTCTTACACAGTGTCTTAGCTTCTTTCTAGTTGAAGGCAGAAATAGATTGATGAGTATCAGAATAATCGTGTTGGGCCTAAAGTCAGTAAATGTTTATAAAACAACTTGTTTCTCGGAGTACAAATATGTATTCATGTATATGGAGTTCAAGTTCAGATCATCTAAGGACAAGATGTGTGCTTAATTGAACTGGCCGAGAATAATACGCATATTTGTTTTGCTAGTACACCCCCCTTCATAAGTTTCGCAACCGGGATTTTTATTGGATAGCATGTCAAAGCGTTTGAATCTTTAATTTTTACATTTATTACAATAGTTCAGAGATTCATGATTTTGATGATTTTTGAATCGCCAAAATAAACAGGTTTTAATACACACTCTAAAGGGCGACTTTCCAAACTTATGATGGGGAGTGTACTGACCGAGTTAAAGTTTGAATCAGAACTGCAGAATAGAACGACCTTTTTCTGTATTATCATTCAAAAATCAAAATTTCCCATCTTCATATAACCTTCAGTTTTTTTTATCGTTTTCTGTTTATTGCAATATGATATTAATGACATTTAACATGTACAAATACATGGCTTACTTATAAGTATAACTTTGATGGCAATACGACTGTAATAGTAAAATGAAAATGAAAAATAGAATGAAATGGAATGGAAAACAGAATATGTTCATGTGATCATGATCAAATTGAGCTAACCTGTTATATTTCGACCCCGGGGATTACTATTCCGTTCTCAATTTGCTTTTCAGGGTACTCCGCATACCTTTATACTCAATCGGCCAAGTAAACAGTACAAATGGGAGAACTAATCCTATAGGACCATAATTTTACACGTTCACGTACAAGTTAAAAAACGTGTATCGTAACCTCCCTAATTTAGGAGTATACTATCTGACTAATCTAGGCATGACATTAACAAATCCTTGTGTTTTATTTTTCCGTAACCTCGACATTCTAAATGACACATTCTATGTAATGAAATGCTTGCCAAGTTGTTTGATAAAACGAGCCAAAACATTGCAAAATACTATGTATGCCGTTGAAATCTCATGAGTCAAATAAAGGAAGGAATGTGGATTGTATTATGATAGGGAAAATGACTCCCTGGGAAAAAAACATGTTTTCAAAGGTCTTTTGTTTATAATTCAGAAATATAAAACAAATGTGCCTTTCACTGTGTTGGACGGTTTGCCAGATTTGATGCATTTCAGCATTTGCGTATTTTTACACATGTTGGTAAGATATCGTACTAAATACATTAAAATAAGCAAATAATTTGAAATATGCAAAGAAAGTTCTAGTATACCACTCGAGACGTCCTAGTCTACTGTGCATGTGTACGGTGATTTTCTATTGTAACAAAAACATTCGTGCATTTGCATAGTAGTGGCTATTACTAATGCAATGCACTCGATAACGACAGATCATTGATGTATGTGATAATGAGAAAATCGAAGTCATGTATGTATAGCATTGATATTTTATCCACAACTGTAACTTGATAACAAAGAACAATAATGAACTAACTATATTCTACATCTATAGAAACCCCGTACACTCAAATCGCACTGATATAAAAGTGTACATTTTATAGATACTCCCTAGCACTGACAGAAGAGTGTACATCTATAAATACCCCCATACACTCAAATCGCACTGGCATAAAACAATGTACATCTATAGATAACCCGTACACTCAAATCGCACTGAAATAAAACAATGTACATCTATAGATACCACGTACACTCAAATCGCACTGAAATAAAACAAGGTACATCTATAGGTACACTCAAATCGCACTGAAATAAAACAATGAACATCTATAGATAACCCGTACACTCAAATCGCACTGAAACAAAATAATGTACATCTATAGATAGATACCACGTACACTCAAATCGCACTGAAATAAAACAATGTACATCTATAGATAACCCGTACACTCAAATCGCACTGAAATAAAACAATGGACATATATATAGATACCACGTACACTCAAATCGCACTGGCATAAAACAATGTACATCTATAGATAACCCGTACACTCAAATCGCACTGAAATAAAACAATGTACATCTATAGATACCACGTACACTCAAATCGCACTGAAATAAAACAAGGTACATCTATAGGTACACTCAAATCGCACTGAAATAAAACAATGAACATCTATAGATAACCCGTACACTCAAATCGCACTGAAACAAAATAATGTACATCTATAGATAGATACCACGTACACTCAAATCGCACTGAAATAAAACAATGTACATCTATAGATAACCCGTACACTCAAATCGCACTGAAATAAAACAATGGACATATATATAGATACCACGTACACTCAAATCGCACTGAAATAAAACAATGTACATCTATAGATAACCCGTACGATCAAATCTCACTGGCATAAAACAATGTACATCTATAGATAACCCGTACACTCAAATCGCCCTGAAATAAAACAATGTACATCTACTTGTATAGATACCACGTACAATCAAGTTGCACTGATATAACAGTGTACATTTAGAGATACCCCGAACACTAAAATCGCAATGCAATAAAACAATATACAAATCGTGTAGATCTATAAATACCTTGTACACTGAAATTAATCGCAATGCAATAAAACAGTGTATATCTAGTACACTTTAATCGCACTGAAACGAAATAACAAAGTGTTCATCCTGTTGAATGCTGACAAGATATGGCATCCCCTTAACATTTCATCTAATTCGTGGTTTTGACCATTCGAATGGTAAAACTAGGGCCATTGATAGTAATTAGAGGCTGTAAGTTCTTCAAGGGATTCTCTTATTTACTTCACCCCGACCCGGAGTGTGTGTGTTTGGGAAGGACTCAAAGGGCTTGATACAAGGCTCTTATTTTGCCAATTTACGTACTGAAATAGACAATAGAAACCCATACATATTTGCATATTGAATAAATTTGCGCCTACCCCGGTCATAAATAATACATATGCATGTTTTGTGATGACAGGCCAGTCCAGTCGTGACATTCTGGCGAGCATCCGGGCAAGACAAGAGCAAACGGATTAATCTGGTAATTGGAACACTTTGGCTGCCACATGCATGATATTAGAAGAAATATAAAGTAGACAAATTGATAGGCTAATTGGCACTTATTCCATATCTTTTTCACGGTAATGATAAGTAAGCATAACAAAACGAACGAGGTTTAATCATCGTATAGCTACATTATAAACACCTTCCAATTACCCTTTTCAAAGAGTTT